CCATTTAAGATTTTGGGGGTGCTGTCACCCCCGCTTAGGGGGCTGCACGTGCTAACGTGATTTTTTGCCAAACCTGTGCCCCCTCGAAAACAAAATCGACGGGTCTGTGCGTTTTTAAAAAAAAACTGAGCTGCCGGTAAATGCGTCTGTTTCGTTTTCGATGCGCGACCCTGTATAAATGGAACATTCTGTGTGGTTAAAAGTCGACTTTTAGCATTTGGATATGTCAAATCAGGGTAAAGGGTAGATGCACTTAGGCAACTGAGAAAATGGCACTTGGGGCTGATTTCCAATTACAGGTTAACTGTGGCTTAACTGCTATCCAGACGTTAACTTCCACGCATTTTTCGATGTCAGGTTTGTCCCAAAACGGTACGTAACTTCAGAAGCAGAGACGGCCTCAGTGTCTTGTTCGCCCTGAAGCAAAGCATACAATATACGCCCTCCCACACATTAATCGAGAATATTGCGCCCCATAGCAATGAAGAACGTCTACTGGTTGACTAGCTAGTTGTAGTTAAATCGCAATACCTAACCTTCTTTGCCTGACAGTGGCATGTGTTGTTGTGGGTAGCACGAGAAACAAACATCGAGCATCTCAAAACGCACTGAACGCGAAAATTCAGACGTAGAAGCAACGACAGATCAACAGTCGTTTCACAATTCAGAGCTTTTCCGGTGATAAACAAGAAGAACGATTTTTTCCAAAGCCGTTTATATCGTTTTGTGACTAGGTGCATTTTCAAAATCAATTGAACATTTAGGTTGCCACTTTTTCTCCACTACAAGGCGAATTTCAATATGACATCTAATCGCTGGACCTCAATTATCAGCTTTATTTTTTCTTATCGACGCCATATTGGATTTTTGCAAGGATGAATAGAGTTTTGAATTCTGATTCCAAAAATGTGTAATACGTCATGTCATGAATTATCAATATTGCAAAACCAAAAGATAAAACATTATATCCTTAGATGGCCTTGAAATTATCAGATAGTCATTTGTTTTATAATATCATCAAGCATTTCTTCAACTTTTATGAACTGGGCTTAGAAAAACAGTCACTATTTTCGATTTTAAAAGGTAGTTCTTGAATCGTCGAATAAAGAACAACTTTTTCATATTATTTTGTGGTGGTAATCGATACATTGGAAACGGTATAATTTCAAGAAACTGATAGAATTTTTTTAAAGTAAGTAAACGCATTGACGTTGATGCAGGTTGCTAAGGATATTGCATATCCGTCGTATCTAAGCTGATGCATACATCTTGCATTTCAATACTAATCTACAATCGATGAATGAGCAAATTATTTAAATATCCTTTAAACACGCTCCCCCAGACCTCGAGCAATCTTTAACTGGAGATGTAATCAAATGAACATTTGGTAAGCTGTGTAATTTTCGAGACCAACTATGAGAATATTTTCTTGTTTAAATCAACTAAGCTTTGGCAATGTCAATCTATTGTATACATTATACATTTTTGCAATTAGAAGTAAAAGCTCTATTCATCTGCACTGAACACAGATACTGTATCCATAAGAAAAAATAATGTTGATACACGACAAGAGACGAAACGTTATACTGATATTCTATTGCTACACCACCTTGAAATGTATTTTTTATTTCCACCTCAAGTAAATCCAGGAAAGAATAAAAGCGATTTTAAGAAACTTTTTCCTCCATCTCCGGAAATGCACTTAATTACAAACCTTTCTAAGTGCTATTTTCTTACTTTCCTAAATGCACAACTCTGTCCATATTTAACCGACTTCGTAGCTCTTACGAATTCTCATCGGATCGGAGAGTTATTGAGAGTTTTGAAAGTATTATTAACTGATATCACTTAATGGGAAGCACGAAGTTTTTCCCGCCAAATGTTTACGTCACACAAATTATTCAACTGCATCAAACAGAGATGCTTGCCAACAAGAAGTGGACATGTGGTTCCAGAGTCGAGAGGCATCTAATACACTTTCTTGGAAACATCATTATGTTGCAAATATCTTTTCCACTTAGATAAAATCAACTTGAGGCTTTTTAACCAAGGAGACTAGACGAATATGATCCCAACCTCAGTTTCGGTTGTGATCTTAATGACCATCTTAATATATCTACTTATACAATGTAACTGCATTGTTCTTATAGCCGTCTTCTCAACGTAAAAATGACATTAATTGAAAAAATTTACTCATGCCCGTTTAACTTTTTGCCACAGATTTGAACATGCTAAGTTATATAATTTGGGGGCAATCAACTTCAATTTCTAGAGCATTTGTTCAACAGAAGAGAATAATCAGATTGATATTCAACATTCGTAGAAAAGAATCCTGCAGAGATATCTTCAGAAGTAAAAACATCATGACTCTACCAAGCATTCATACTTATAAGTGCGCCCTTTTCACACATACAAACAAAACAAAATTTATACAGAACAAAAACGTCAACACACATTATAATACAAGGGCAGGTGAGAGTCTAAGTATTCCAACACACACACTGACGCTGTTCGAGAAGTCACCGGAATACACCTGCGTCAGAATATACAACAAACTTTCAGCTAACCTCTGGAATTGCTAGTTTTAAGGCCCGTATCGTCAGTCGTCCCTGCAATTGTAGGGCGCGTTTATGGCCTCCTTGATTGTCATACTTCTTTCTCTCCTTCAAAAATTTCTAGATTACACTTGTCCCGTGTCAGCGTCAGCGCTCTCCTATTGTGAAGATATGTCTTCTTTTTAAATTGTAGGACATTTCAGGCTGATAAAACATGATATAACTCAAAAGCAAGCACAATTTGATGGAAATAGATGTTTGTGACATAACCTCAAAATAGAGTTCTGACACGGAGAAATAGAAAACTATGACAATCAAGGAGGCCATAAAGGCGTCCTACAATTGTAGGGACGACTGACGATACGGGCCTTAGATGTACGGAATAACTAATCATTGCTGTCATTGTAATCAATCAGAAGCCATACAGCGAATGACAACTGAAATAACAGGCGCGACTTTCCATGGTACAATCAGAGCACAAAGTAGGGACGACTGACGATACGGGCCTTAATGTCATCTACGAAAATTACTAGTTGGAAAATGTTTCTACTCTTTGTCTGAATACGTCCCACTGTGATATATTTTTAAAACTTTTTTATATGTGAATATCTGTACGCCTTAAGTTGTTCATGTTTGTACTTTGTAAATACTTGTGTTTGTTTTGTTTTTACTTCTAATTAAGTGTACTATGTACCTCCCCCTTAGGACGAGTCTTATGTCATTTTATGATCTACTAGACAATAAATGTATCTATATATCTATAAAAAAATCGATTATTCTAAGTTGCAATCCCATTTATACATATGGAACATTTTTCGGATCTAAACATAAAAACCAATATTTGCGGTTAACGACTACTTTGTACTGTCGAGCTGCTAATCAAATAACCTGCTGTGTTTCTATATAATCATCCAATATTTGTTAAGGTTTGCAAACAGTGTCTATTTAACGCACCGCTCCTCAGTAACCATATTAAATCCACCTAGAAAAGTTATTAGTTTAAAGTTTTAGATAGCACAGATCAATTTGTGACTATAGTTTCCTTCGTTGGCGCATATAACAGTATGAACTATGTTTCAATGTGTCTGAAGATACAAATGTCTGGTAGGCCGATAACGGCGGTATATCAGCTTCTGATAATCGGTCTCAGCTGACTTTCGATATCAGCGAAAATCGTGTATCAGATAAATGTGCAAAGACCAACAAAATAAATACCTTCACAGTGAATCTAACAATTTGACGTGACTTTTCTTTGCTCTAAGACTCCAAACCTTCTACTTTCCATGCTGCTTGGAGTGGAACTATTGTTATAGCAAGCTCGATAACAATAGAGATAACTTTTTTAAATATTAGAATAAAATTTAATTGGTGTTGTTGTATGATATACTATAAGGCAAGCCAAAAAGAAATAAGCTACGTTAACATATTGAGAAATATAGTATAAATTACACTTAGCACGTAACATGGTCAAAGATTACAATTACAAGTACTATAAAACGCTTAAAAGCTGAAAACAACTGATGTATGAGTATTACGGACACATTTCTAATTTTTGTCATTTGAGTACTCTCCTAGGCTATAGTTTGCCTTTGCTATTAGCACTTTTTATTTCTCAAAAGCATACTTTATGATCTTTGATAGCATTTATTATAATCTGACCGCCGAGTGCCTAGGATTAAGTTTATTCATTAGATTTATTACCACCGAAAAAAGAACAAAAGTGTTAAATCCTCCTCAAACATCAGTCAGGATTTAACGAAAAGTTCCAAATCTCGTTAGCCATACATATATGTGTTCCTGCGATTTTAAATATTGTGTAATCCATGTCTGGGAAGCCTCAACTCAATCAACATGACTCTAGTTTCATTTTTCACGCCTCTGGAAGTATTGTAATCCCGAAAAACCATGTCACTCACTTCCGTCGGTCTGGATTTGTAGTATTTGAAAATCGAAGGAAAAAGCTAAAAACAGAAAAAATAAAGTTCGCTCCTTCTGTAATCTTTCAGAGTATCTTGATCATTTTCTTAAAGAAATTTTGTAGCGGTTACAAATTAGGGGTTGCATTGGTGGAGGAAGGTATATCTCAATCTTTTTACGTTAGTTTATTAATACACCTCCAAACTCAGTAGTCTCACGCGCCTATTGAACATATTTCTTATACATATTTACTTAACGCCATTTTTTACTTTAAACCGTAAATAACTACATAATCTTAATCAGTTGAAAAAGCTAGTGTTTAAGAAGCTTTTATACATCCTTTGATCGCCCAGCTAGGTGGCATTCCAGTCTTATCAAATTCCTCATGCTTACTTTTTGATATATATTCTGGTGTATGTACAGTAGCATCTCAAAAAGGAAGCAAAGGTCTATGGCCTCATGACTTGGAATAATACGTGTGTATTATATATCATCGATCTTACCATTAAATCTCTTTTTTTGTTTCAGGCTGGGAACTACGAGGACTGAATTGTTATAAGTTTTTTAACATAAGGCATTCATGGGAAAAGGCAGCCGAACTTTGTCGAAGGTCAGTATCAATGCCGTTACGAATTTATTTATCCACCTAAAAGGCTTGCGTTGATCTTATTTCGTTTTTCTTGCATCCGCCAAGCATGATGTATGTTTTCTGCTGTAACTGCTAATAGTCCAGTAAATGTAAGCTCTATGTGAGATCAAAATTATGCATAATGATTGTTATAAACCGCCAAAATGCGTGTATTAATATCAGAAATTTCATTAATTAGGAAGCTCTAACGGATCAAATCATGCGTTCCACCTGGTTGTTCGTTGCTGGGTGCATTCTCCGTCTCGTTACCCCGTCGATCTCCCGAATGGGTGGGTAGATGCTCTTTTTACCTGAGGAAGTAAACAAAATACAAACGAGATGTAAACATGTTGAAAAATAATCATAAGTGCCTTGTTGCTTTTAAAGGGGTGGATAGAATGGTAAAGTGTTTCCATTTCTGATTGAGTCCAAGTTGGCGCTTCATAAAAAAACTCAGTCATAGGCGGTCCACTTTATACTTATAGAGCTTAATATTTCAGTATTTCTTCCTCCCTGTTCACAAATGGTCTTTAAAATACCGCGCTGTTTTCATGAATGGTTTTTACTGTCAAGACCAGCTACAAAATTTGCAATACTCGTTTTAATTATACTAAGTGACATATAAATCCGAACACCCAATTTAAATGGTTTTATTTTAATAAAAGTTGGTGAATGTATTTATCTTACTGTAAATAACAAGTGAAAAAATTTTCAGCCTTATCAGTTGGACATTCCGGTTTTTATACTGCTTTTTTTTAATTCACTAACGCTCCAAAAATGAATATTTCAGCCGCAGCAAAGAATCAACGTTGGCGGATTTTGGTTCTTGACATCCTTTACGATCGGTCTCGATGCCTAGAGTACGGAGACCTTTACGATTTCGTCAACTTAGTGAGTTTGATAGGGGCCGTATAGTGGGACTTCGGAAAGCTGGACTTTCTTTTCGGGCAATTGCAGTTAGAGTGCAAAGAAGTGTAGACACTGTGGTTAGGTGTTGTCAGGCATGGCTTCGAGAAGGCCGTACGCAAAGAGCAAGGGGCATTGGAGGCCGCCGTAGAACAACAGACCGTGAAGATCGCCGCCTAAGATTATTGGCCTTAAGGGACCGTTTCTCCACTACCAGATCCATTGCAAATGAATGGTTTGCAGAACACGGAAGACCTATTGGCATGCGAAGTGTTTACCGACGAATTAGAAGCTTTGGCTTGTTTTCATACCGGCCACACTGGGTCCTCCCTTTAACTCGAGAACACCGACGTAATCGCCTTGAGTGGTGCAGACAACGGTCACTCTGGGATCAGAAATGGAACAGTATTGTCTTTAGTGACGAGTCTCGATTTTGTTTAGGCATGCACGATCGTCGTGCCAGGGTTAGAAGGCGACGTGGTGAAAGGAGGAATCCAAAGTTTTTTGTTGAAAGACATGTTCATCACACTGTTGAAGTTATGGTTTGGGGTGCTATAGCTTATGGTTCCAGGTCACCTTTAATCTTCATCAGAGGTAACATGAACGTTATATCCACGAAGTTCTAGAACCCCATCGTTTACCCTATCTTGACACCCTGGCAGATCCAACTTTCCAACATGATAATGCCCGACCACATGTTGCAAGAGTCACAATAGACTTCTTTCAACATAATGATGTCACATTGTTACCATGGCTACCAAGATCTTCCGACTTATCCCCAATTGAGCACGTGTGGGATATGATGGGCAGGAGATTGCTCAATTTGCAACGTCCTCCTCAGACTCTAGAAGCACTTCGAGAGGAGTTGGTGGTTGCCTGGAATGAGATACCACAGGAGGACATTGACCACCTGATCAGAAGCATGCCTAGGCGCGTTGGAGAATGCGTAGCACATCAGGGTGCATCCACACATTATTAAAGGTCAAAGGGCTTTAAAGCAATCATTTTGAAATTTTTATCATTTACTTATTATGCTTCATTAAGTACTTATACAAAATTTTATTAAAATAAAACCATTTAAACTGGGTGTTCGGATTTATATGTCACTTAGTATATATCGATCGATTACTCCAGTCGTAGTTGCGATACTGCAGAGTTATGACACAAAACCTACCGGCAGCGATACAACGGTGTTTTTTGCTATTTTTTCTCTTCTACTTCTTATCCCTAAACAAATAACCTCTTTTCTCAGCAGCTGCCACGATTTACGAGCTGTGTTCGTGGCAGATCAAGTCCTTGATAATATGGATTCCGATCAGCCGAAATGGAAGACTCCTTGGTAGAACTCTATCGAGACAGGATGACCGCTAAGGCACTCCTTGTTAGTCAAGACACAGTACTGTTTTGGAATAATTAAACTTTACCAAATTGTTGCATCTGTGTATGATAATCTGCAGATCTCTCGTCAGAAAGGAAGTCGCTGCTAGTCATCTTCTCTGTAGCTCACTTGGAGATTTTGACCTGGCACTCTGAATGCTTGCATGTGGAGTGTAGGCTCATTGACAAATCTGTGGATCTGATACTGGAAGGAGGTCATTGATATATATTAGAAAGAATGTGGGAGTTAGATCGACCCCTGTGGAACACCCGCGTTGAGCTTGTGGGATGAAGAGATGTCTTGCGGCCAGAGAGGAGCCCAGCCACCATCTGCAAAGCTTCTCTGGGAAGCCGTAGCTTGCATAAGAGGGCAGCATGCCACAGCTGAACAAAATCAACAACCTAAGCCTCACCTTATGAAAAATAAATAAAATTATACATATAATAAAATCAAATTCTAGTGGTTCAGATGGAATAACCTTGATACCATGATACTACTATGTATACCTGAAATGAATGTGTACTTTACACATATTATCAACTGCTTTTTAGAGAGGGGATATTTCCGCAATCAGTGTTCTGATCCTACTAGCTATAGTCATCTGAGACCGATCAGTCTACTGTCAAGTATTGGAATGCGTTGTTTACGAGCAGCTCTGCACCTACCTATATTCTAACAAAATTATTCCATCTAAACAATCTGGATTTCGACAAGGTCATAATACAGCTTCGGCACTTTGTGACGTAACAGACAATATAACAATGGCACTTGATAACCAAAAAGCAGTAGCTCTCATACTTCTTGACTAAAGCACCTCTTGTGTCTAAATGCAGTTATTATGGATTTTTTGAAAAACCTCTTTCGTTTATTCAAACCTACCTTGAAAATCGGTATCAAAAAGCTCTTCTGAATCAACAGCACTCTACCGAACGAAAAAAATGTTCTGGTGTACCACAGGGATCAGTCTTAGGACCCCTATCATTTTCATTATATATCTCAGATTTAGAAACAGAGGTAAAATCATGCAGCATACAGTTTTTTGCACACGATACTCATTTTCTATTCATTTAGGAGTAATGACTTGGAAACAGCAAATAATAAAATTAATCAAGATCTTGCCCAAATCGAAAAGTTCAGTAGTACTCATAATCTTCGTTTGAACCCTTTAAAGACAAATATGTTGGTATACGCAAATAGAACAAAAAAGAATACTTTAAAAAAGGTCATAGACATACATTTAAAAGGTAATAAATTAGTTCCTGTGGATCATTCGAAGAACCTAGGTATTATAATGGATGATGACTAAAAACTTGTTGTACACGTGTACACGTAAACTATCTAATTTCTCAGTGCTACGCTATTTTCAGAGTTTAATTTGCAAATAAGGCTATATTACATAAATCTGCGAGAAAGCAATTGCATGAATGTGTGAATCCTTCTTGTTTTCAAAGATATCGTATTGCTTAGTTGTTTACTATCCCTACTTAGATATTATAACAAGAAATCGTATTTAAAGTATTATGAACACATGTTACTGACTTGTAAATGGTCTCAGAAAGTATGATCATATACCGAATGCCATTAATGAACACAAATGGATGAAAATTGATAAAATGTATAAGTACCAGCTCCTAAATCTGACTCATAAGGTTCTTTATTCAAAAACACCGTCATATTTAGTAAACAAATTCATACGTAGAGGGAATATGCACGGTATTAATATTAGATATAGAGATACTTTTTCAATTCCACGCTACAGCACATCTCTATTTCAGAATACATATATTTACAATGCGATCAAATCATATAATTCTTTAAAAGAAACCAATCCATAACCAAAGGCACAAATCTTTCTCTTAAATAGGGCGGTTGACCTGTTTTTATAACCCTATAGATAAAAGATATTGATATTTTCTGCGATTCGTCATGTTTAATATGTTGTAGTTATTCAGATAAGGAGTGATATGGTTTCGATATGGAATTCCCAACGCTAATCTCATCCAACTATTTTGAACTTTTTGATGCATTTTTTGGTTCGCGACGATAGCGAATCACCAGAGACGACATCTTCATAGTCAAAAAGTGATAAAATTAAGGTATTACACAAATAATACTTTTGTTTGGCTGATAAATGTTTTTTTAATTTGTTTATTTTTTTAGTCGCATGTAAGCTAAATTTGTTCTGTTTTTTATATGACTGCCGAAACCAAGCGAGCTATCAAATAATAATAATAATGCCTAGATTTTTTGTCTCCTGAACTATGGGGATTCTGTCATTGATAAATAGAAATCACTAAATTTTGTTCAAAATGTTCTCTTTCATTACTGTTTTTATTCATAACCATTACTTGCGATTTTGAGGGGTTTAGTTTAAGATTGTGATGCTTTGCATATCTGTCAATTCTTTGGAGACCTGAATTTAGTTGTTGTTGTGCAATATGGATTGTGGTTTTATTGAAAGGGAGATATGGAGATATATTTGTGAGTCATCTGCATATTGTTTTATCTTTGCGAATTTTACCGATTTGACCATGTCAGATATGTAGTTTGAAAATAGCAAAGGAGATAAAATTGAACTTTGAGGAGGTTTAAAATCAGTTTTGTAAATAGCGGAATCATTTGATAACATAACACAGTTTGAACGGTTGGTTTAGTATGTTTTTATTAGATTTACGGAGTTCTGCGAAGACCCCTGGAA